CCTCTGTCAGACCCTGGGAGTCCAGGACCCAGCCTCCTCCCTTAGACAGGGTCCAACCTCAGCTTCTTCCCTCAGACCCAGAAATCCAACTCCCATACAAAACAAATAAATGTAATAATTTACTTAAATTTTTTGTAAGAGCTAAGTCAGCAAAAGCTAAACAGTGGGGAAATAGTTCTCTTTTCATGTTTGTGATGGGGGGTTCCCACTCATTGGGCTCAAGACAGCTGGCATAAGTTGTAGGAGAATTCACTGAATTCCTTAGCCAGACCCCATTCAATGGGGGACTCTAGGCAAATGCTTTCCCACTGAGCAAGCCCCCACTGGAAGGGATTCTAGGCAGATGTTCTACCTCTGAGTCACACCCAAGGCTCTCACTGTGGGGGCTCTAGGCAAGGACTCTCGCTAAGCCACACCCCTAGCTCTTCATTTGGTGATTCTAGGCAGGCAGTCTACTGATGACCTGTCGCCCAGCCTTAATGAATCCTTAATGTACGTACACAAGTGGAAAACCAGCGAAGGACCACCAGTGTATGACAGAATGGCACAGGACAGGACAGATACATAACACACAGGTCAGTTCTACCCACTCTGCCCCACTGGATACGACAGGGGACCGTTTCCTGTTCCTTAAAGTAGTGCAGATTTGATGTTTATTAAATACTTTTCTCGTTGTTGTGACAAAATTTCTGGCACGAGCAATGTAGGAAGCAAGGGTTTTATTTCGGTTGAACATCCTAATCTGAAGAACTGAAATTCAAATCACTCTAAATTCTGAAGCGTTTAACTTTTAATAACATTTTATTCATCTCAGTGTGATGTTCCAGCACTGGAAGGTGGAGGCAAGGGGATCAGGAGTTCAAGGTCATCCTTGGCTACATACCGAGTTCAAGGCTAGCCTGCACTACATAGCTCCCTCCTCAAATGTGTCAGGTTCTGATGCATTTTGGATTCCATACTTTTTTGATTAGGGGAGCTTACCCTGTCATAGTGTTTGGATTCGTCTATTGACTCTGTGAGGACCCCTCTGAGTGTCTGAATGAGAATGGCTCCTGCTTGTCGTATATTTAAATGCTGGGTCTCAAGTTGGTTTGGGAACCTATTTGGGAAGGGTTAGTAGGTGTGGCCATCTTGGAGGGGGTGTGTCACTTGAGGTTTCCGCAGCCTACCACATTCCCACTTAGCATGTGTATGTTCTCTTTCTTTACCTGTGCCTGTGAATGAGATGTGAGCCCCCTACTGCTGCAGTGCCTGCCTGCCTACTCATGCTTCCCACCATGATGGTCATGGCCTCTAAGCCTCTAGAACTGAAGCCCCCATAATCTCTTCCTTCTGTAAGCTTGGTCATGGTGTTTTGTAACAGCGATTGAAAAGCGACTAAGACATCACCCTTTATTGAGTGCACTAGACAAACGGAAGTACAGTCTTCACATAGTTCTGCTTTGCTGTGAGAAGCAGAAGGACCCTGGTGGGACTCTGCAAGGTAAAAGAGGGCGTGTCTTCCTTGCCCCTCTTCCTAGAGACTTCTTAACCATGCATGCTTCCGTTTCTTGCTCTGTAAGGTAGATGTGTTGACCCTACCAAGTCCTGGGGATCGCTGGATTGACTGGGTCTCGGACTGAAGTCCTAGGGATTGCTGGGTGACCAGGTCTCAGACTGAAGTCCCAGGGATCGCTGGGTGACCAGGTCTCAGACTGAAGTCCCAGGGATCGCTGGGTGACCAGGTCTCAGACTGAAGTCCCGGGGATTGCTGGGTGACCAGGTCTCAGACTGAAGTCCCGGGGATTGCTGGGTGACCAGGTCTCAGACTGAAGTCCCGGGGATTGCTGGGTGACCAGGTCTCAGACTGAAGTCTCAGTTGCTCCCTTCATCTGTAAGAATGAGAGACATCACACAACTGTCTGCCTGACTCTCTCTTCTTTGTACATTCTGTCATCTCCTCTCCAGAACCAACCACATGCTGTTGACTAAATTATAACTATTCCCTTGGGGGCTTAGTCAGTCTTTGATCAAAAAAAAAAAAAGTCCAGAAGAGCCTAAGGTGACCAAGCCTAGATGGGGACAGAAGTATCTTCCTCTATAGGATATCTAGCCTTGTTTTTTTTTTTTTTTTTTTTTGGTTTTTCGAGACAAGGTTTCTCTGTATAGCCCTGGCTGTCCTGGAACTCACTCTGTAGACCAGGCTGGCCTCGAACTCAGAAATCCGCCTGCCTCTGCCTCCCAAGTGCTGGGATTAAAGGCGTGCGCCACCAACGCCCGGCTTCTAGCCTTGTTTTAACCCTACTGAATAAATCTGTGTCTTGGTCTGGATGGTCACCAGTCCATCTTGACTATGTGTTCCCACAGTACTCAGTGCAGAGTGCACTCTGGGTACACGGGGAAATGTTTGATAAATGAGAAAGATAAGGAAGGGAGGGAAGAGTGAGAAATGACAAAAGAAAGCCAGCCATGTGGCTCAGTCAGAAGAGTGCTTGCCTGGCATCCATCCCAGCACCACATAAACCAGGCATAGAGATTCATGCTTGTAATCTCTGCACAAGCAGGAAAATTAAGAGTTCAAGGTCATCCTTGGCTACATATAAAGTTGGAGGACAGCCTAAGCTATGTGAAACCCTGACTCAAAGAGAGGAGGGTCAGCTGAAAAGAGGTCCATATATACTCCAAAATGCATGGAACCTACAAAGCAACCAAAGTAATGTGAAGAGTAAGAAAAAAAAATAACGTCTGGTTGTAATGGGGTGAGATGGGATGGGAGTGTGTGAACCAAGAGCATGAGAGAGATACAAAGAGTGAGTAGAGTTAAGAGAGCCCAGCCACAGAAGAATAACTGTGGCCAGTAATTTGGTCTTGTATTCATGGCTGTTCTCTTTTTATAAAGTCTCACCACATACAGGGAAGGTAGCTGGTTGATTCATTCTCATTGCCTCTGCCTGCCCCACAGCTGCTTTCTCCAGAGCACCCTGAACCCCCCAGTTCCCATATTTGAACTTCTGGTAAACCCCTTTCTGCATGACTTCTGGATGAATCCAAGGCCTTGCTTCCCCTATACCTGCCCTTGAGCCACAGGCAAGGACCAGGCCACCCACCCTGGAAGAGACTACATGGATGTTAGGACAAGAGGAGGGGGATGGGAGGAAGAGGAAGAAATAAAAAAGGGAAAGGGAACAGGAGGAAGAGATGGAGAAGGAGGAGGAGGAAGAGGAGAAACATGGAGAAAAAGAGCAGGAGTAAGGGATGAATGTGGAAAGAGGAAAGGAAAAGAAAGAGGGGGAGGGGAAAGAGGAGGAGAGAGAGGAGGAGGAGGGGAAGAGGAAGAGAGAGGAGGGAAAGAAAAGGAGGGGAAGGTGAGAAAAAAGGAGGCATGGAAAAGGACAGAGAGAGGAAGAAGAGGAAGTGGGAGGAAAGGGGGAAGGCCTGGAGAGTGGCAGGTTTGCCTAGCCACAGAGAGAGCTAGGCTGTAAGCTTCTGGCTCTGGAGTCTGAGGTGGAGATGGTGTCTTGCTCCTCTGCAGGTCTGTCAGGCTAGAGGAGTCTGGCATGCACCATGGTCCACCTGCATTCCCATGTGGACTCTCTTCTGTCTCTCTCTAGGGTCTTGGGCTGTAGAAGAAACAGAGGCTGCCTTTCCTTGGTGTTGGAAAGTCCAGCTCCTGTTCTGAGTATCCCACTCCAGGGGGTGGACTGGCTTCTTTAATCCTAGTTAAAAGGTGTTGCTCATAAAAATGTATTAATTTTTATCATTGATTTGATTGATGGATTGATTGAGACAGGGTCTAAGTAGCCCAAGCTGGCCTCCAACTCACCATGTAGCTTGAAATCCTGACCCGTTTGCCTCTGTCTTCTCAGTGCTGGAATGAAGGTGGTGCTAGCCACACCCCATTTGTAGGATACTAGGATCAAACCTGCCAGAGTTTCATGTGCTAGACAAGTACTCTACCAATGGAGCCAGCCCCTCAGCTCCTTCATCCTAATTTCTTTGCTGAAATCCAAGCCCTTACTACCTTAGAATACAATCACATTTGGAGACAATGCTTTACTGAAGTAATCAAGTTCATGTGGGTGGATTAAATTCCAATATGGACTATGACAAGAAATTAGAGTTGAAATGGGAAGGAACAACTATCTTCTTACCTACTAGGAGGCTGAAGCAGGAGGATCTCAGAGTTCAAGGTTACTTAGTTACTTCAAGGTTGACTTAGTAAGACCCTGTCTCAAAAAAAAAAAAAAAAGTGAAGGAAAGTTGAGAAAATAGAAATGTGGAAGAGTGCTCTTTTACAATCCCCAGTGAGGGGCTGGGGCCTAGGGAATACTCAAGTCAAAGAGCCTTTTGCTAGGCATTCCCAGTGAGGGAATGGGCTAGTGAGGGCTCTTGAGGAGCTCCACTCTCAGAAGGTATCAGAATGAACAAGGCTCTGCATCCTCAACCTGGAGCTACAGAAAACAAACAAAAAGATCAAATTTAAGGGGAGGGGAGGATGATGCAAATGCACCCAGAGATGGTCCTGGGAGGACACAGAAAGGAGACCTACATCTCCAGTTAAAGGAAAGAGTCCCTAGGAGAAGCCAGCCATCAGGACACCCCTATTGTGGTCTCGAACCTCCCGAATTAAAGGGGGAAATATCTGTGGTTTGAAGGCACTCATCCTATTGCAACCCCAGCTGACTTACAAAGCATTTCCTCTTAAAGGTCTCCACTGTGGGGCAGTGCTAGGCCTGAAGCTCCACAAGGTCCTTGCCATGGTCACCGCAGTGCTCTGCTGTCCCATGGGACCTCGGTGTGAAGAATGTACAAACCCAGAACCACTTCTAGTTAAGACGCTGCCCCTCCATTCTGTTCAAGCTGGGACAGAGCTGAGCAAAAGAATAGGGCTGCAATTGCTGTTCCCAAGGAGTGAGCACCTTCTGGTGGTTTTTGCCTAGGAAGGCTGAGAGGACTTGGGTTGAGTCCCTTCTACCAGCCAGCTTTCCTTACCCTGAGCCAAGGCTAGTGAATCTGTAGCTTCAGACTTCAGCTGGGATGGCTCCTCCCAAAACTGGTTTCTTGAGAACTGGGGCTTCTTTGTTCTTGAAAGTTTGATTTTCCGCCCACCAATTAAGTATCTTCATTCTAAGACAAAGAACTTTGTGGTAAATGCTGTGTTCAGCCCCACCCCACTTCAGTGCTGGACACGCTGAGTCCTTTCCATCACTGCTCTTCCCCAAACCAGCCCTGGGCTGCCTTTGGAACACGAGGCTCTCTCCCCAAGCTGGGTCTGTGAACGGCCCACTCATCAAAAGGAAATCAAACATAGCTTGCCGTGGACTCTCCCCAGTCTCTTTACTGGCCTCCTGGTCTCTAGGCTATCACCTTCCAAACCCTAGAAACTGCTGTTTCTCTTTTGGTCACTGCCCTCCTGAGGTTCCCCATTAACTACAGGACAAAGTCCTAGCCCTTTGTGACCCCCATGGAAGTTCCTTCATTCTGCTTCTCTTGCAACCCTGTAATCATATTCTCTCTCTCTCTTTCGATATATATATATATATATATATATATATATATATATACACATATATATGCATGTACACACACATACATATTTCTTCCTTTTCTTAAACATTTTTGGCACATGTATGTACAAGGAACTCTCGGGGTTTTGTGTGTGTGTGTTCTGTTCAATGGACATAGCAGAGATTACATAACTAGTCACCTGCTTGTGGAGACTACATAGCTAGCCGTAGGCTCTGTCATATAATACACCTCCGTCACCCCAACAACCAGAGCCAGATTTTTATAGTTGTTCCTTAGTCTCTATCCCTTTCCAGATGAAAAGCCTTCTTTGGCTTCTGTGTGAATTGAGAGAGTAAGATCCAAATTTTCACTTCCTGTCTGAGAACCATACTTCTATTAAAAATGACTGAAAATGGTTTCAAAAGCATTGCCAGAGACCAGGAAGAAGCTGAGTCAAAGGAGACCTTGGCAACACAATGAATTTCATAAAATTGCACTTCCTTAATTTAGTGTGTGTGTGTGTGTGTGTGTGTGTCTGTGTGTCTGTGTGTGTAGGGGCATGTGTAAACATGAGTGTGGAGGCCAGAGGACAACCAGCAGGAGTTGATTATTTTTTCCACCATGTAAGCCCTGGGGGATCACATTCAGGCCCTCAGAGTCGGAGGGAAAGCACTTTTATTCCGAGCCATCTTCCCAGCCCCATCTTGAATGAATTTGACTTAAGGAAGTGTGTATCATGACTGCATTCAACAAATGAGAAATCCCCATTTCACTTAAGTCCATGTAGAAATTTTTTTAACAACAAAAAAAATGCTACAAGGAAAATAAATTGGCGTTATGTATGGTATATTTTATGATCCTATTTAATTTAAGCTAGAAAAAGTATCAGTTGGTCCTGTAGTGCAGGCCTGTTATACCAGCTACTTTGAAGGTGAGAAAGTCCAAGACCAGTGTACTGAGGCTCTGTCTTAAAATTAAAATATAAAGAGGCCCAGGGATGTAGCTCAGTGGTAGAGCTCCTGCCTAGAATCCCCCAGTGAGGCATGATTCAATGGTGGGACAATTGTCTAGTATGTTCAAAAGGCTTACATTCAACCTTTGGTATTGAAGAAGAGTGTGTGGAATTTATTAGAAAGCATCGATATTCTTAATAGGTTCAAAATCATAATGGATATCAGAAATGTTTCAGTCAAGTGATAACAGTTCGTAATCACATGTGTGTGATGCAGTTAAATTTATGCTTAATGAGAAATCCATAACCTTAAATGCAAACAAAGAATGGCTAGACCTTAATGAGGAGTCCATCTCAACAGAAACTAAACAGGAAGAAAATGCATGTCATAAGTCAATGAAAGACCAGTGAGTGTGAGCCTGCAATCAAGACTGACCCAATGGCAGAAGGAAAAAATCAACTCCTGAAAGTTCTCCTCTGATCTCTACTTGTAAACTGTGAACAACACATTCATTTGTGCACACACATACATTCACATACATGCACACAAACACACATTCACACACATGCACATGCACACACACTCAAAAGAATAAATGTAGTTTTAAAAATGTAGTTGACTATTAGTCAACACGGCAGGCTTTAGGGAGGGTTTGGTGTTGAATTCGAACTCTGATACTCACACCAGCACAACGAGGAAGAAGAGGAATAAAGTAGATGCTATGGTCCCATACACAATGCCCTGGATCAGTCCTCTCAGGAACACACTGGAAATAGAGCTTTTATCTGAAAGGAAAGGAACAAGAACATCGTCATCCCGAGGCTTCAAACTTTGTCGCTCTTCCTTCTGCTCTGTGTTTGTTCTCATCCTGGTCCTCCAGAGTTGGCCTTCCACCCCAATCACACCAGACCGATCTCCATGCACCTGGTATCAAGAAGATTCTGGAAGCATGGACTCCATATTGGTTTTTCCCCTCACAGCGAAGTCTCCTGATGATTTCTGGCTCCCACATGAGGTGGATGGTGCTGTTGGTCCAGGGTTCTAGTGTGGTGGAGGTCATGTGTAGGATGGCATCGATGCTCTTCACACTCACAGGGGTTCCTCCCACCCACCACTGCACCGAAGGTGTGGGGATCCCATAGAAGGAACAGCTACATGTGAGTGTCCTCTTCAGCAAACAGGAGTACTTGAGCAGCCTGGCTGGTGCTGTGGGGAAGAAGGGGCGGAGGTCAGAGAGACATCCACACTTTTCTTTACTTCCTCCAAAGTCCAAATTTATTTATAATTATGTGTGTCTGTGTATGTGCATGTGAGTACAGTGCCCACGGAGACCAGAAGAGGGCACTAGATTCCCTAGAGCTAGATTTACAGGTTTAGGCTACTCAACATGGGTGCTAGGGGGAACTGAACTCAGTTCTTCTGCAACAGAGATGTGGTAGTTTGAATGAGAATGTGCCCCAGAGGCTCCTGTAGTTGAACACTCGGTCCCCCAGTTGATGGTGCTGTTTGAGGAGGCGTAGGCGGTATGGCCTTGATGGAAGTAAATCACTGGAGGTGGGATTTGAGAGTTAAAAATCTTAGGCCATTTCCTCCGCGCTCTGCTTCCTGCTTATGGTAAAGGATGTGACCTCTCAGCACTATGCTCCAGCTCCTAGGTCTGCCATGATGACTCTAGCCCTTTGGAACCATAATGAACACTTTCTTTCAAAGGTTTCCTTGATCATGATGTTTTATCACAGCAAAGAAAAGTTACTACAGAAAAGCAACAAATGCATGCAATGAGCTCTCTCAGCTTTTTAAGGCATCTCTATAACACCCAACCTTAAAAGATTTCGAGACTGTGAGACCCAGAAGGGTTCTCCTTCATTTTTGGCACTTGCATTCCACACCAAACACAGACTTCACTCTTCCTTATGATCTCTCAGCCCTACAGGGTCAAAATATGGCCGCTCTCCTTCAGGATCCAAGTCTTTCTCTGGAGCCCAACATTTTTCCCAGATTCTAAATCCTAATAGTACCCACAGCACTCACAGACCAGTTGTAGCTTGACCACTTTACTGCTGGACAGGTTATCTAGGGATAGCTTTAAGTGGCATCTGAGAGTGGTGTCCTGGTCCTCAGGTTTTGCGTCAGTGGGCAGCACTTTAGAGGGGTAGATGGAGACGGTCGTGTTGGAAGACGTGCTGGGTCCTTTCCTGGAGAGAAAAAGAGCTTTGGGTTCTTGGCAGGTGCAGGTCAAAGCCACAGGCTCTCCAGCCACAGTACTTTCTGGGATGTGAAGCTCTGGGGTTTGGGTCAGATCTGGAGGAGAAGGAAAAAAGTTATGCTTAGATTTGTGTTCTATGGGCATGTCACTGCGTGGCATTTCTGAGTGGAACCCCTGAACTTCTTCCAATGGTCCCACAGAACCTGGGATTGCCATGTTTACATGATTTCTTGCCAAGTTCTGCTTTCTATCAGGAAACCCACTCCACCTTACTGCCAGGCACATGAACAAGATAAGGGAGGTTACACAAGCTTGATCCTGAAGGTTGGATTTTAAAAAATATTTAAATTACATTATTTGGGACTAGTCATATGGTTGAGCAGACAAAGGCAGTTGCCATCAGCTCCAACAACCCACGTTCATCCCCAGGACTCATTGTGGAAGAAAGAAAAGATGCTCACAAGTTGTGACTTCCATACACTGGCATACACATACACACACGCACTGTATTGGTTTGTTTTCTATTCCTGTGATAAAGACATGGCCAAAAGCTACTAGGAAAGGAAAGATCTATTTCATCTTACGCTTCCATGTCACAGTCCATCATTGAGGGAAATCAAGACAGGAAAACAAGGCAGGAACCTGGTGGAAGGAACTGAAGCAGAAACCATAGAAGAACTCTGTTTATTGGCTTTCTCAGTCTGCATTTTTATACAACCTGGGGTGGTACCACCCACAGTGGGCTGGGCCATCCTGCACTAGTTATTAATCAAGAGAATGCCTTACAGACCTACATACAGATGTTAGTCCTAGCCTTCTGCCTTGCTCAAGATGGTCTCTTGTTCTTTGCTGTGAATTCCAGGCTAGCTGATCCTCAGCTTCCCAGGATCCGGCTGCCTCTGCTTTCCATCCTACCACAGGAACCCTGAGATTACAGATGTATGTTACCATGCTTTGTTCCATGTGGGTAAGCCTGGAACTCACTCTGTAGCCCAGGCTAACTCCTGGCATTTCTATTACCACTGCTCCAATGTGCTGAGATTACAAGCACAAGCCACTACTTCTGCTTCTGTCATTGAAATTTCTATTTAGAGAGATGGCAACTGTACTTAAAGCATTATATTATTTTACAAACTAAATAGCCAAGGTTTTGTAATTTTTACATTAGTTAGTTAATTTATGTGTAGCCAGGCATGCATGTGGAAGTCAGAAGACATCTTGCAGGAGTCTGTTCTTTTTTTCCCATCATGTAGGTCCCAAGGATGAAACTTGGGTCATTGAGCTTAGTGGCAAGTGCATTTATCCACTGACCTTTCTCACCAGTTCTGGCTGTTTTGTTGTTGGTTTTTTTTTTTAACATTTACTTCATTTGTGTGTGTGTGTCCCAAGGTTTTATAAAGCCCAGTACCTGATGAAGTAACTTGACCACCAGCACTTCCTCTAGATTTCCTACTTCCCAAACCACTGAGTGTGTGAGCCCGAACATCACATGACATGGAGTGTCCAATCTCTTCCCCTATGACAGTACCTTTCAGAGCTCCTAGACCCACATAGAGTGAGTCAGTCATGTGTTTTCTTCTGAGCACACTGTGGGTCAGCAGGATACAGTATTCCAGCTCCTTTGTGGAAAGATCACCCATGGGGACACTGGGCTGGCTGGCACCAACATGGAAGCTGATATTTTCATTAAACCTATAGCTCACAATCATGGGCTTTCTGAGAGGTGCCTTGGAAAATTCAATCACACAAGGAACTGTACTGCATAGACCATCTTCCATTGCTGTCTTCTTGATATCAACCAAAACTGGAGGAAGAAATCCTGTGGGGAGAGATCTAAAATAGAAACAAGTCCCACCTCAAGTTTTCAGATTCCTGTCTGTCAATCAAAGGGTCACAACATAGTCATTCAGGACAGGTTCTGAATTTGCTCTAGGAAGTCACCTCAGAGGCCCAGAAAAGTCCTTCTTGGTAAGAGGGTCTTTATTAATATGCATCATTGGGTCACATCCAATAGTCTAGGAATCATGTGATTGATGGCAGAGTCCTTGGTGTATGTAGTATTGTTTGCTTACAGTCTCTCCAGCTGCCGCTTTCCTCAATCAAGTCATACTTGCCTGAAATTCCCTCTGGACAGACAGTTGATATGATTACAGTTTTGTTAATGCAACACAAGCCTAGGCATATCTGGGAAGAGGGAATCTCAATTGAAGAATTGCCTCTTGTCAAACTCGCCTCTGGGTAGGTCTGTGAGGGGGCGTTCTTTTCTTGATTCCTGATTCACATGGGGGGCAGTGATCTAGCCATGCCTAAGCAGGTGGGCCATGGAAAACAAACCAGTAAGCAGCATTCCTCCATGGTCTCTGCTTCAGTTCCTGCCTCCAATTCCCTTCCCTTGAAAGCTTAAAGAAACCCTTTCTTCCCCAAGTTGATTTTTTGGTCAGTGTTTAACCACAGCAACAGAAACTATACACAACTGCTGTGGCCTCACAGCCTCTCAGGCCCTCAGCAGCTGCAAACCCAGCTCTCTCTGATACCCTAGCCAACTCTGATGGTTACTTTTTCACTGCCTCTATCCATTCATTTGCTCATTCACAGTGTATGCGTGCGTAAGTGTATACTTGTGAAGATCAGAGGAAGTCAGTTCTCTCCTTCCACCATGTGGGTTCCAGAGAGCAAACTCAGATCAGAAAGCATGGAGCAATCATCTAAATCTGTTGAGCCCTCCCCTGGCCTGAATTATAACACTATCTTTACCCAATGCCTGCCTGTCTTGCGACTCCTGGCTCATAGACTAGGCCACATGCTGTAGAATTTACCCTCTCCCTTAGCCTGTAAGAACAAAAGTCTCTCTCAGTCTTATAGAATTTAAGGGCATTTCCATTCAGGAGCCCATCGCATTACCTGTGATGTCTGTCATTCTCCTAATGAAGCTCTTTGAGTGTGTGTGTGTGTGTGTGTGTGTGTGTTGGGTGGTAATCCATCTCACCTTTCTTGCTGCAGAGCCTATAGCATTGCTATTATTTAATTTATTATACTATTTTATTTATTATAATAAGTATCATTTTGATCTCTGGAAGAATCGAATGCTAAGGTCTGTCACAACTGCATGACCAGACTCCCCATGAAAACCTTGCACTCAAGGCTTGGTGGGCTCCCTAACTGGGGGGCCTGAACTTAAACTCTGTGCACTGCTGCTGAGAGAACCGTGCTGTCCGGACAGCTTCCCTAGGAGAGGCCAACTGGGTGCTCCTGCCTAGTCGTCTGGCAACTTCCCCATCATCTCTTCCCTTGCTGATCTTAATCTATGACATGTTGATATAGCTGGTCATCACCATAAAGACAATGGTTTCACTGAAGTCTTTCTTTGGGACAAAGTCTCTAGCCTAGATTGGCCTCAAACTGACTATATAGCTGGGATTATTTGAATTTATCATGTTCCTGTTCCTACTCCTTAGGTCCTGAAATGATGGTACGCACCACTACACACAACTTTACACAATTCAGGGAACCAAACCTGGGGCCTCGAGCGTGCTAGACAAATACCTTACAGGTGTGGGTTTGATTCCCAGCACCACACCAAGTAGCTCACAATCCTCTGTGACTCCAGCTCCAGGACACTGGACACTTCTGGTCTCTGTGAGCACCCAAACATATGGGCATAACTCCACACAGAGACACATACATACATACATACATACATATAATTAAAAATAATAAATCTTGAAAAAAGCAACTTTTTTATTAAAAGAGAGAGACTAAGTGTCCTGCTGGAGATGGACTTCTATACCATCCTCCCATCTCTGGACCAAGGCTCAGGGAACACTGTGGAAGAAGGGGCAGAAAGAATGGAGGATGGAGATGGAGGCAAGAGCGGTGACTGCTGTCTTCTAGATATGATGTGGCTCTTGCAGTCATGAGCTCATACCAAGTGTAGTCACCTGTACAAGATCAAGCCAGCTAAACACGGCACCACAAATGGAGGAGGAGCTACTGACAGCAGTGGGAGGAGTCATTTCTCTTTGGGAGGTGGCTACTGGTGGGCTGCTCATGTTGCACTGGATAGCGCCTACCCCATGACCTCTGCACAACAAGAACTGGACTCAGTGACTTAAAATAAATACACAGGCAGACTTGAAGTTTGGAGAACGCATTGGGAATGTTCTGGAGGGGCTCTGGAGCCCGTAGGGACTCGAGTGGATCAAGCTACATTGTATACATGTATGAAATATTCACACAGAATGAATAAAAATAGTATTTTTTTAAAAAAGAATTCAATGGAATAGGGCCTGAAGAGGTGGCTCATTTGGTAAGGTGATGACTGCAAACCACCCAGAAAGTCTCCTGGAGAAGTTACACAGCTACAGAGCCATGTGGTCCTCTGTAATAACACTGTGGACTGTAACTTAGCTGTGGTTCATAGCAAACAATTATTCCTTCATCTTCCCTTTCCACTGCCTCAGATGGTGATCTCACGACGTGTGTTACTTACCCAAATACAGCAGAAGAAAGTATGTGAGCCCCCACAGCATCTCAGGGACAAGAGAAAACAAGGATGGCTCCTGCTGCTGACTCTGGCCTCCTACAGAATGCCCTGTAGGGTGTGATTTGTGGCAGGTGAGAACAAGAGTAGTCAAAGAGGCAGGTAGTGGGGAAAAAATAACATTGTTACTTAATGGAGTCCTTTGTCTCTTCAATCCATGTAAGACCTCTTTATCTTGTGAGCTGGATTCCTCTTGGCAACAGATACTGGGAGCTTTGAGGTCAGGCATCTTCCTCATGACTCCCTGAGAGCCTAACATATTTGCTCTCTTTAGTCTAACCATCTTCTCTGTCTTCTTCCTCCTTCAAGATCTGGTGCATTGGATTCTATTTAGCCCACAAGGCAGTCTCAAAGTTTGTGATAAGGTTTAAGACTGTTGGGGGACCAGGCACGGTTGTTATGAAGTCATCTGAGTCTATACTCACATCTGTCCCCTAATTGACACATGCGTGTACACACACAGTCACCCTCTACACACATACCCGCACTAAAAATAAAGAAAATAGGGTAAAAAAGTAAATACTTGTGTGTGTGTGTGTTCCCTGGAGCTGTAGTTAGAGGTGGTGGTGAGCCCTCTGGAATGGGTACTGGAAAACCATCTCAGATCCTCTGCAAGAGCAATCCTTACTCATAGCCACTGAGTTATTTCTCTAGCTCTTAGTTTTGACTTTTTCAGACAGGGTCTCATGTAGAACAGGCTGCTCTCAGATTCCCTACATAACTGGGCCTGAATCTGAACCTCTGGTCTGCCCGTGCCCATTTCTCAATACTGAGATGACATGTCTGGCTTACCAGTTCAAATCAAAGAGTGGAAACTTTCTGTGTTGGTTTCAGCAACTCAGGGGTGAATGGCTTCAGGCCAGTCCTGCCCAGCTTTCCTTTTTCTCACCTGAAAACTGGGAGCTGTTCTCCTGGCTCTCTTTTGTTTGTGAGTCTCGATATGTGGCCGGGACTGACCTAGAATCCCCTCTGTAGTCTTGTCTGGCTTTAACCTCCTGATATCCCTGTTCTTCTCTGGATGCCAGTAGAGACCAGAAAAGGTCATTGGATCCCCTGGAGCTGAAGTTACAGGCAGTTGGGAACTAAACTCCAATCATCAGCGAGAGCCGTAAGTACTCTTAACTGATGAGCTACCTCTCCAGTTCCAACAGCAACTTTTTGTCCCTCCCTCTAAACGATTAATTTCTTCTCCAATTCTACCTCCTGGTTTTGGTTTCCTAGGGCTCCGGGCTCCTCAGCATTCCTTCTCTTGGAATTACAGGGAAGCTTAGCTGAAAGCATTCAGTGAAGGTCTGACTTACAATTATAGATACTGACTGGGGAGTTAGATTCTAGAGGGGCAAACTGGGCCCACCCAATGAACCCACAGGAGGAATGACGTTGCGTAGACTGGGAGGGACTAAGGTTGAGAAACCCTAACTGACCAGCCTAGACACTCGCCTCTTGAGAAGCCCCGCCCACAAGATACCAACGTGTAGGCGCATGCCTATTCAGAACAAATCAGAGTCTGACGGTGCCAAGTGGGAGTCAATGGAGAGCGGGGCAGCCAAGAGACAGCAGATTTTCTTCCTCAGAGCTGGTCCCTTAGCAATCAAATCAGCTCTATAGAGCAGAGCCTCTACTAGTTAAGAGATTTTTTTTCCTTGACCAGATGGTTCTAGACTCTACAAGAGCTTGGGCTAGCCATCTCTTAAAGGACATTTGTACCTCAATACCTCCGCAAAGAAGGTGATGGATGAGTGGAAGGTATTGATTCAGGAACCAATGCCTGGCCGAGTTTGACTCCCACAGCCAATCAGAAGACATTGTGTGTACCCCTTCGTTTTCTACCCTGTCAATAAGTCATCTATAACCATCCAAACAAGACAAATGACTCTCCTCCCATGTCCAAGCCCTCCCTGCTCTCTTTCCATCGTGGCCCCATCACTTTCTCTTTGTTCCTTTTGTTTTGAGAAAGGATTTTACTCAGAAGGTTTACCTACTGCTGGAACTCACTAGGCATCCCAGGATCCCTTAAGCCTGAAGTGCTGGGGTTACAGGCACAAGCCGACACAGGCGGCTATTCCATTGCTCCTTCCGTCTCCTTTTCCTCTTCTTTGCCAAACCTACCAACACTCGCCTCTCCCACCTCATATTCTGGTTCCTTCCTGAGGGACTTCTATTGAGGAAGCAAGCCCAAGTCAGTTTAGAAGGTTCTGTCTTCATCAATATAGCTGCTTCCTTTGAATTCAAATGGTTATGTTAGAGCAAAGGAAGAAAACAACAAGCCCAGGGAGCTCCTGAAACGTACAAGATGTACAAGGCCCTTCCCCCAGTGTGTGTGTATATATGTATGTATATATAAATATATATACATGTATATGATTACTTATATACATACATATATGCATGTATGTGCATATCTATACATCTATACATGTATACATACACATGCACATATATATATCAATATTACAATGGCTGCTATAGAGGAGACTCTACTACTGCCCCAATTGCCTGCTAGCTGTCCAGGGAGCTCCAGGGCCACCCCTGTTATGAGTCATCACTCCTCCTAGAGTGGGCTGTGGGGCTACAACTGCCCTTGGGTCATCCAGGCTCCTCTTGGGAACTCCTTGCTTACACTCACTCCTGTAGCTCAGAGACCTCACTGGTGCACCAAGCTAGATGAGTCTTTCTCTGGTTTGCTACTGGTGCTCTCCTTGGGGTGAAGAGATGGATGTTTCATGTTCAGGTCTCCTCAGGAAACATCACTCAATACCTATCTACACACAGATTTACACCGGTAAGGCTGCACTAGGACTGGAGAGAGAGCTAAGCAGGTAAAGGCACTTGCTGTGAAGCCTGATGACCAGAATTTGAATCCCAGGGTCTACATGATGGAAGGAGAGGGCACTTCCACACGTTGTTCACTGACCACCACATGTTCGCACACAGACAAGATAAATGAGGTGTAATAAAAAAAAATAAAGCCACACCAATATGAACTCACTTTTCCAAATTACTAAGCACAGGAGGAAATAGCCCTCCAAGAATGGAGATAAAGGCTAAACTTGGGGTTTGGAGAGATGACTCAGAAGTTAACAGCATGTGCAGCTCTTGCAGAGGACTCAGGTTCAGTTCCCAGCACCTGCATTGTGAGCACAGGCTCCCTGTAACTACAGCTCGAGTGGACCCAGAGCCCTATTAAGGCTCTCTCGTGCCTGCCTCTCTCTCTCTCTCTCTCTCTCTCTCTCTCTCTCTCTCTCTCTCTCTCTCTC